AGAGAGAGAGAGAGAGAGAGAGAGAGAGAGAGAGAGAGAGAGAGAGACATTTGCCTTCGTCGAGGGAGACGAATCGAGATCCACCGAGGGAGAGAGGAATCATGATCCACCAACAGAGAGAGGAATCGAGAGAGAACCGAGACAGATAGAAATAGCTGGATCCACCGAGACGGAGATGATTCGAGATCCACCAAGATGGCTAAAAAATCACCCTTTTCGTCGCATGCAGAGAGCATCGAAGAAGAGAAAGAAAATAGCGAAAGAAACAAAACCGTCTTCACCGTTCTTCAAACCCTTCTCCTTGTGACGCGTGGCGCTAAGTAACCGTGTTTTCTATCCCTTAATTAAGACCCGTGCCTTTCCTTTAATCCATGTTTTCCTATTTTTAAAAAAAATTAGTTATGCTAAGGGACAAGGTTAACAAACGCCTATAAACATGCTCTTAACTTCTTCTTTTGGCCGCATACATGTAAACTTATTAATGACATCGCTTTGGTTACAAAGCGTTGAACATAGTATTTTCATTTATGTTGACTAAGCCATTTAAAAACGTTAGTTAATCAACAGTTAAATTTAACTAAAAAAGTTAACGGACGGGAAGTCTTAATTTAAACCAAGTCGTTTGTGGTCCTTAAAGCTCTTCTTCCAAATCTTACTCCAACTAAGATTATGAATGTAACACAATTATTATCTACAAGCTAACATTCTGAATGTTGTTTTTTTATATTGAAAATTACGGTCAAGCAAAACCTAATAAAATGTCGTCGTTTAAGAAATAAAGCAAGAGTGAAACGGTTTTAACATTTTAGCATCACTCTCGCGCGCGATTTGTAGATCATATGACAGTTGAGGATATTACATGTATTAGTTGTCAGACGATGTTATGCTGTGAGTATATTGACCATTACCGTTGAGGATAACACCACTATATTGAGGAAATCGTCATTGTAAGCAGGGTCATCTTAAATAAATTTTAGATGATGTTCAAAAAAAAAAAATTAACGATATATTTATGAGTTAATGAAATTTTTTTAAAAAGTTAAAAACTATGTTTGATGTTTTTTTATAAATTAAAAATTCTAATTTAGCAATATATCTATTTTTAAAAAAAATATTATCGTAATTTATCAATATATTTCTTAAAAATTCTTAATTTTCCTTATTTTTTCTTTATTTTTTCCTTATTTTTATATTTTTATATTTGGGGTCATGTTCGACCGCTCCACTTACACATGGTATTAGACTGCCCTGATTGTATGTGTTACTGACCTTTTCCAAGTTAAAATTCGGACGTGTTCAAGGTGGCTTACATCAACACAGACTGGAGAAAATAGAGGGGGAAAGAAGCGGTTACAATTGACTGAAGAGGGATCGAGGAGGCCTGCTGAAATGCAGTCTTAGTATTGATGGTTAGAGCAATGGAAGAAACCACTGAACCGGCCACAAACTTGGCGGGTAAAAAGGGGAATATGATGTAGATAATCCACTCGATGGAGTTTTGTGCTGAGAAGAGGACGTCTTTCCAGGCAGCATATTCTGGGGCATAGGTGCAGATGAAATCAATAACCTTTGAGAAGACACCTGGTGGTGAGGTAGCTGGACGGTGGAGGAGAGTAGCATCACCTTCGTGGAGGCATAACCAGCTGCGAAACATCTTCCACCAGGTCTTCTTCGGAGGGGAGGCACCAATGGCTGCTGCGGCAGTGGAAGAAATGGCTGGAGGGAGAGTATCATCACCAGGAGGAGATACGGGCAGGAGTAGTGGAGTGCGCTCTTCCCCACCACCTTGGCCGGTAATACACACACACACACACATATATATCTTTAACAATAAAGTTTATTTTTTTCTTTTCTTGAGGGTAATTAATACACGTGGCATTTCTGTCATGGGTTTCAATTTCCTACCGAAATGGACTTTTTTAATTTCAGGCCCATTCCATCCAGAATTTTTTTTGTGTGTTAGGTTTAGCTTTCTTCTTTGGCGGCATGAAACTTACAGACGACATAGAAACCAAGAGAGAGCTTTGTTAAACGTTAGAACGTTTGGTTTTCATCTCATAACTCCCCTTTAAACTTGATTCCCCCACTCTTCTGCATTCACTCTGACCCATTGTATTCCCAGAGTCACTGATTAGAGGTAGGACTTTAAATAAGCCCTCATCAAACATGCATATCACAGCTTCCACAAGAAAGATAAGATTATTCTGTTCAACTTCCCGTTTATTACGTTGGTCAATTCCCACATCTTCCTTTGGATCTGAAAACATGACGGTGCTCCAACAATGTCGAGGTTAGGTTACTGCGATTGTGGGAGGCTAGGAATGTGAGAAAATGTGGTGAACTGATGAGTCTAGACATGCTCTTTGTCGATGAACATGTAAAGAACTCTTTCCCATAATTTTGTTTCCATTTCTTTCAGCTATTGTTCTAATACCATTGTCTAAACGCTTACGCAGGGATCTATTGCTGCAACCCGTCAGCTCCATTTCAGGGAACGGCTGAGGGAGGGCTCGGTCTACACGGTTTTGATGTCACACGGAGCAACCCCAGTTTTCGTTTATGTGATGCTCCTCTTTTGATTAAGTTCAGTGATGGAACTTCTATTGAGAAGGTTATGGGGTCTGTTAGGTGCATACCTATGGAGGTTTTTATATTCATGCCCTACAATCGGTTACTTAAACTAGCTAATACCGGGAAACAACTCCCTGGTATGTATCTTGACTATCAGTAGTTTAGTCTTTCTTTAATAGCATGTACTAACATAACCCTGTCTATTCTCTATCAGATTTAATTGGTGAGCTGAGTGCAATCAGAAGCACGATCACGGACCGTACACCAACGGCACAACGTGTGAT